ACAGAGATTTTAGGCCTTCTGTGGTTTAATCCTACTGCATTTACATCTGTGATGATAAATAGTTGGGGATTGACAGACTTGTACCCAAAGCCTATAAAGGAATGTAAACTGCTTTAAATGATGGTTATCACAATAGAAAACAAAATGCTTTTCCAAAGCCCTGACCTTAATTTTATTAGAGATTAGAAAAAAATCTTAATAAAATCAAACCTGTGTGTCCACTTCTTATTTTTTTTATTATGATTAAAGATATTTGCTGTACAATGATTCCACTCTGGAACAAGAACACTTCAAAGAAACAATTAAAATACCATATTTACAATGACATTCATGATGAGTGCATGTAAAGTTCTCACCGTGATTGTAGCCGTTAATTATATTCAGAGAATACAAACCTAAACAAGAGGAGACAAACACAGTTTCTCCTTTTATTTTATTTTACTGTATTTGTGTTTACTCTATTCTCTATATTTGTGTGTCCTTGATTTGTCACTTTTAATGCTTACTGTCTTTGTTTCTCCTGTTGTAAAACTACTGATCTGTTTGGAAGTTTCTGCTCTTTGAGAGTCAAAATGTAATTTTTTATTTGAACCACCTAGTAAAGCTTTGTTGTTTGAAGTCATATTTCCTGTTTTGAGAATAGCAATGGCCCGAAAACCACACAATTCAGCTTTGGTTCACAGATCACAGAGTTTTAAAGAAAGCATAACTTTTATCTTAAAAAAAAAAAAATCCAAAAGACAGAAAAATAGAGATTCTACATTAGTTCACATTCATTATATTCTGCGATACCTCGGATAGGCGTTTTTCTGTCACAGGGTGGCACCAAGTCATTTCTTCCACCTTAAACACAGAAGACTTTCACTCACTTTCACTCACTGTTGCTGTCAAGTTAGACCTAGATCACACATTGGTTCACACGAATAAAGCTGTGAACAAATCACTGTGTAAAAATAAAATACGTGTCTTCAGCTTGTCTCGGTCGTTGTGTCCTTGGGCAAGACACTTCACCCGTTGCCTACTGGTGGTGGTCAGAGGGCCTGGTGGCGCCAGTGTCCGGCAGCCTCGCCTCTGTCAGTGAGCCCCAGGGTGGCTGTGGCTACAACGTAGCTTGCCATTTCCAGTGTGTGAATGGGTGGATGACTGGATATGTAAAGCGCTTTGGGGTCTGTAGGGACTAGTAAAGCACTATATAAATACAGGCCATTTACCATTTAAATTTTAACAAAAAATGATTTTACTGTAGAATCAGGCACAGGCTGAAATAGGAGCCACAAAGATACAAGTCTGACTGATAATCACTGCTGTTGTTGCCTGTAAAAGGTCAGACAGGGGTCTGATCACTTTTCCTTATACAGTCATCATGCATATTTTTTATGATGATTTATTTATTCTGAAAATTTTGACAAAACATTTGTTAATATATGTTAATTTAACTACAGAGTAAGCTGTTAGATTAAGCAAAAACATTCTGCTTAAATATTGAAACACAGACTTCTTTCATGATCTTAAGTTTGTTTGTGGGTTTTGAGTTTTTCAGTGTTGTATTCTTTTTTGTAATTGGTCGCTTTCTGCTTGGTTTCATTGTGATTTTTATGTCCTTAGTTTTGTTTTGCTTTTTAAAATATTTTGCGCTTCTGAAACAAATAAAAACTGCAATTTCAGGTTCTGATCTGTAGCACTTAAAGGGTATAAAGCTTGTAAGTTAAACATAGCAGCAGTTGTTTTCACACACAGCTTAATTTGAATTTTTTGTCTTCAGAAAAAGTTTGATTTACTAAAAAAAAATGTTTTTTTCAGCTCTGATGATTCAGTAAGGACGTCTCCTGGTTTCATCTTCATGTTTCCCTCTCACCACATATCCAAACCGATATCATGACCAGCAGCTTTACAGCTGTGGCTCTAGCAAACATCAGCTGATAGTAGACAGTAATATTAAATAAATTTTAACAACAGCTGATCAAGCTTAAACGTGCTGCTGTTGTTTACTGTGACATCCGCTGGTTTCCTCTTTCTGGC